AGAATAAATAGACAAAAAGGGACATGGTGACATAAAATTGATATTTCTTAACCTAGAAATGAATAATAGTGGATAATAACAAATTTTTTTCCGAACTTCTGACAGCAGCAGGATTTTAGATCCGTTTTGTAGAGCTCATCAGTTTACTAAGAACCCTATGTGTGAAGAAGTTTTGTTTAAGTTTAGACTTTGGAGTTTTCCATTGGTAGGTGTGGCGGCTGCGCGTTTTTGTCGATCTAATTTTAAAATATGATAAATGATTTATATTAATTTTACCTAGAATGAGTTTGTTGAAGAATTTCAGATCAAGCTTTTCCCGTCTAGATTGTAGTGATTCTAGGCTGAATTCGGTCAATCTGTCTTGAGATGTTTTGTAATCCTTATCAATTCTCGTTAAGTTTCTACCCACTTTCTATTCATCAATTTTCTAATGAAGGAGCTTTGCACTTTCTCTATATTGTCAATGAGCAGTTTTTTAGAAGGGCTGGCTACCACCGTTCCATATTCCAAATACGGTCTCACAAAAGTCTTTTATAGTAATGACATTAATCTAACGTTCTTACTATGATAAGTTTTAAAAATAGAGTAACTAGCATATTTCGCCCTATTGATAGCTTTCTGCCAATGGTTAGAAATTTTTGGAAGTTGGTTTTCCAGAACTCAGATATTTTAAAAATTCTCGAACATCTGAATTTCTGATTTTTAGATTTTAGACTGTTTTTTTTTTTTGGATTTTTGAAATTTTGTAATTTCCAGAAGTTCAGACTTTTTTTTTGAAAATTTTGAAAGTTGCGATTTTTAAAATTAAGGAACTTCTGAATGGTTTTTTCCAGTATTTTGTTTGATTTTTAGGAAGTTTTTGATTTTCAAAATTTCAAAGTTTTTATATTTTTTCTAAACAAATGCTTTTTAAAATTCAAAAGTCTTGACTTTCAATTTTATTTTTGAATTTCTAGATTTTAGAATTCCAAAACACAAAAAAGTCAATTTTCTGACCAATTGATCTCCCTGCTCTGACCTCATTTTGACCAGAGCTTAATTGGGATGAGGTGCTTATTTCTGGGAATTTTTCAATCAAAATTCTGCTGTATCTTGTTCTCTGCTCTGGGTTCAAATTATTGTCTTGAAAATCTAATTTTCCTCTTTTTTCCTCTTTTTTATTCCCAGATTTTTCCAGAAGAAATGGAGACTTCAACGACTACATATGACGATGCAAACCGATTTTTTCCGAATTCTGAAAATTTAACAAAACTGATTCTGTATGATTTTATGAATTTGTTGTTGTAAGTTTTTTTTTTCAAAACTCTGAATTTCTGAAACTCTGAATTCCAGTTTCAAAAATTCAACAATTTGAAATCAAAAATTGAGACATTTTTTGAAACTAAAATTTGAAATTGTAGTTTTTGCATTCCCAAAAATTGGTCAGATACATCATTTTCAGCCTTTTTCCAGCTAATTTCTTGTAACTTTTGGTTTTCACAACAGTTTTTTTCTTGCTGGACCATTTCTTGTTTTCAATCTGGCTGTTTCTCCCCCTTCACTTTTACAATCAAAAATCAGTAGAAAATTTTGGAATTGAATTGGAAAAAATCTTGTTTTTCACAAAAATCTGTAACCTCTGAATCTGTAAGATGTCACGAAAAATAATGATAATGACGAAAAATAATAGTGAGAAAAACAAAATTTCTCATTTTTTTTCGAAACAAGCCAAAAATCTGCTTCCGGTATAACGAAGAAAAGCAGCAATGTCTTCTAATATAGATTATCAAGATTATTCATTATCGATTTTTAAAAACCTTCCAAAACCATTGAAGGTTCTTGTTATTGGGTTTTTTGTGTGAGTTTTTTTTTGTTGCTTAAACAA